TCAAATTAAACCAGTGTCCGAGCTGTCTGTAAATTATAAGTTTCGTGTATTAAAAATTTAGCAGAAAATATGTTCTTATTACGGTGACGGTGAAAACGATATTGCTCGCGAATAATTTTGTTTAAATATTTTACGAAATTAATTACGATTACGGCGTAACATAGCGTGTGCTAATATGATTTTATACCCGCAACAATCGAGATTATACAGCGTGATAATAACAGACGTGTGTTTTTGACTAAATATCCGCCCGACACGGCAGGAACAACGAACGTTTTGTAATTAATCAAGGAAACACCATTTCGACCGTAAAATCTTGCACACTCGACGTCGTCGTCCACGCAACTGAACACCGACCAGAGAATATCGCGGGTGATGTTACAATAATTTCAATATATTTTCGTATGCGACCCCGTGAATGATGAGAAATACCAATCGTGTTTGTAAAAATCAAATAAAGTAACAATCCGAACGAGTAATTCATGTTACGTATGTAATGCAAACGGGTTCACGGATTTCGATCATAAACAGCCGCGAAGACGCGTTGCAGCGACACAATTTTTACTCGATTTATGACGTGCCAAAAAGCCGTATACGAACATTGAGTTTTTAGTACTTAATTGTGTTGATGAATAAACACTGGGTGTCCGACTGGACTTTTTTTATTTTTTCTGTACCCCGTGCAGTCTTCGAGAACGTTTCGGAAATCATATCCCCGGAGATAACGAAATTTCGTTATTTATTAACTATTATCGCACGACATTACTATCGTTAAGCTTTCATAGAACGACGGCGTTCTTGTATGCAAATTAACACCGTATATTGTAACGCGTTATCATAATTTCTTCTCGGGTATTCCGTCGATTAATGAAATGTCGTTTCAACTATTTTTACAACTCCATAGGGCGGCGTTTAGATATGCAATTCAACACCATTCACGTGTTGCCCTCGTTTCCGGGTGTACTCCTATCATTTTTTTTTTTATTTTTCTTATTTTTTTTCGATACTTCACATAGCTAGTTCATCGCACAAAAAATGCATACGATTTATTCACTGTTAACGTTTTGTTGGTGCACTGGTTATGTTACAATAAACGATGTACCCGACTAGATTTTATACGATTGATACGACAATTGTCTTGTCTGTACACCCACGATCCGCTCTAATTGTTCGACCAAGAAGCTAATTGAAGGCGAACGAAAATGCCCGGTCTTTTGAGGTCTTCGACTTTTTGCCGCGTTTTTAATAAAATTCAAAATGGACTAATCCAGTGGAAGGAAAAACAAATTAAGATCGTAAACGACGCAAATATTACGTAAAAATTAAATTATTACACTTAACGAGGTTGTTCATGGCTTTGTCACAAGCAAAATAATACATTTATCAAATCAAATCACTATAGGGACGATTCTATGAATTAAATTAATTAATTCGGTTTCCAAAAGACTAATGTGATCACGCTCCGACCTCGGACAAACTTCATAGAAAGTCATGGATATCAAGATTGGTACTTTCACACTCTGCCAACCGCAGATACAGTTTCTGGGTTAACAAAGACGAATGCGATGTCTTACACTAATCATATTATCTCTGTACGGAGGTAGATCTTCGGTGTCTAGTCGCATGGCGTAAAAAACATTGCGACCGTTGCCTGATAATGATATGATGGATTAGAGTAATTATTGTGCGAACTAGTGGAGAAACGGCAACGATTTAACCACGACGTATCGTTAACGAAATCGTTTCAGTTAACACGTTAACTCGGTCTTACGCACAATGCGATGAATTATGTTTTGACGCGGACGGACGTAAAATATTTCGCAGTACGCGTTTTACATTGTCGGCGCTCGACGTACGTATTATGTGCGCGTATGAAATTGAATTTTTAACCTTGTTCGTATCTTCAGATTGATAGTATTTTGGGGTCCGTGGTAATACCGCGCGGCGCGATCGATGCAAGACTACATCATGTAGTGCGGCGTTATCGCAGTTCTTAAATCACGCCGAATGTTTGCAGATAAAATAAAATGCGAGTGCACGCGTGAAATTTCCGAAAAATTTTCCTACTCGTGAAAAATAATACGTGTATAATAAGGTACTACGTCATATTCGGTAGACATTTGAGGATGTGTCAGTGAGATGATCGAGTGAATAATTGTAAATCGCTGGAGGAAAAATGATGGAGTCTCTGAAAACTGAAAATAATGTTTGATTACGAAACGGTTGGATATTATGTGAACCGTTTAATTGATAATAAGAAACGAAATGTGAAAATCATATGGTATATACTTGTTTTACGAGCAACAACGGAGATTACGAAATAAAATTATGGTAGCCCTAGAAATGGAAAAAAAATCTTGTATGATAACATGTCTACGCATTTGTACGTTTACGGGTTATGGAAAAAAAAAAAAACCAATCGGGTTAGAAGTAAAGACCGACTAAAACGATGTCTAATGGTAACATAGAAGAAGCGTTTTGGGGGATGGGAGGGGGAGCGTGTAACACGGTGGTTTACGAATATTAAAATCAGCCCCTCCGAAAATGTAAATTATATTAAGTATTAATCCACTATTGAATACCTGACACGTGTACATGGTAAACACGGTTATCATTGTTTTTCATCTGATTTTTTTAACATTTTCAAACAACTTCTTTGCAGTCCGATACTATTTTTCTAAAAAACACGTTGTTACGATTGTAACGGCTCCTTCGTGCTAGCCTAACGCTTCTACGTTTTTTTTTATCGAGATCGAGTATATTATCGTACGACAGGCGGAGAGACACAGACAGCTCACGGTGTCACATCGGCCAATAATGACGCGTTGAACATTGGTTGACGTATCACCGTCTTGGTGCGAGTGACTTAAGATCGATTACGGTCGTGCGTGTCACCTTCGCCTGTTAATCGGACCGTCGTTAAATAGATCGACGCCGTGGTCCGTTGATCAGGCGTGCATACCTTTGACCACTATATTTTACGTTCGTCGTGTTGCTCGTTCGGTAATTACATATTTTTTCGAGATCGCCCAGCCCTCGGAGCCCCGCAGCAGCGCTGTAAACGTTAATACGGGAACTTTGGAATATCCGGTGCAGAAACGGACCAGTCGACCGTACCGTAGGGATTGGGTTCGATAACTCTTCCGGCGGGAATCCGCTGTCGTCAACGCGTAACGCAACGGTCACGTTACACGAGCGGTTCGCTGCCGGTGCGCGAACCGAAAACGTATGTTTTCGAACGTTTACAACCGCTCCGGCGACCGACGACCGAGTCGGCACACGTTTTAATGTGAACCACGCGTTATCGGAATCGGAATGGAAAAATTGGTATTTGAAAGAGCGTCGACGATGGCGGTGGGTCAGAATTGCGACCCGCGACGTCGCGTCGCCCCGGTTGCGAATCGAACGATCGTCCAGTCGCGTCCAGAGGACGCCACGCGCGCGCGTGTTGTCCCGTGCGTTGGCGTTAACGTTAGAGTTGGCCGACCCGCGATCGAACTTCGATGGAAGACCGCCGTCCGCGTTTTGTCGGTAGGTTCTTTTCCGATATTCTGGTTTTGCGAGCGATTCGTGAGGTTATTCTCACCTGCAAACGCGCAAACGCGCGGATTACGTTCTTCCCTTAAAGTTCGATCAAACCGTAACGCTAAGACTTACGTCACTGCGCGTTTGAACCGCCGGACGCAAATCTGCTGCGCCGTACGTACGTCGGTCGGAGACAACAAGTGCGGGCGGACACGTTTACGAAACCACGCACGTGTTCGGCGGGACCGGTGCCATTACCGTCGTGCGCCGCGAGCCCTTGACGACGCGTCGACCCCTAGGGTCTCGTGTCCGCTTCGTCCCGTCGTCCGGCGGTACGGTGACGCGCGATTACGTGATCCCGTCCGGTTTCGTTCAAACTCCTTACGGTGTTCGTTCAAACCCCTTACGGTGTCACGGGCCGCGTTCCTTTCGCACCGCGTGCGTCTGTCTACACCGCACGTTTTTCGGCGAAAAAATATCGCGATGATCGGAAAATAAAAATCAAATCGACCATACATCGTTTTGCTACCGAAACGTCGTACGACGGTGCGGCACATTCCACACGCGTCCGAATGCAGCTTACAAACCGCGTAACGCGCTCTAACGTAGTCCCCAGATGTACGAGGGCTTACGCAATGTCACGCTCTGCCCGCGGGATCCCCGCTAGATAGCGCTTAAAACCTGACGGCGAAACGAAAAATCTATCATGTTCGGGTGCGCAAACTTGGACAGTGAACGGTGCCCGTTGAATACCGTCGCAGGCGTTGTGTAAGCACATTGTGTTCTCGTCGTACAGTTTACTGCGATGGATCAAATCTCGTTACGACGAGTGCACACACTTAATCTCGTTTATCAGTATTGCCATCATCGATACAAAGTCAATATTTTCAATTTTCAGTATTTTTTTAATAAAATTATAAATTATCTAATAACTTATTATTATAATGTATTAATTGTTTTAATAAAGGAATCAAATATAAAAATAAAAAATTCATTTTTCATGGACATTTTCAAGGTAAAATGCCTTTTTTAAGGGCATTTTTTGCTACGTTTTGGTGCATTTTCGTATTATTTTTAATGCATTCAAATCCGAACCCTAATCATAATAATGAACGTCGACGTTTTTCTACGTTGTTGCCAAGCAAACGTGGAACCGCAATATGTTTGAGAAGATCGATTTTTTTTTTTTTTTTGATTCACTTTCGATTACGAAACGCGAAACAGCGGATTAGCTGAAAGCGAAATACCTGGTACCACAGTATTTATCCATCAATATTTAAATAGTTGTGTATATTATCTGGCCATTTTGCATATGGTTATTGCGTTACGGCCACCATAGGATACCGTAAACACGACGACGCGTGAATAATATCCCGCGGTATTGTTGCATAGGATCGTCGTCGATATCCCGATTGTTTCTTAGCCGTCGGAGACAGTAATTCGATTATCACGTTTTACCGGGCGTACTAATAGCCATGCATAGGGACGCGCAAACGTACAGTTCCAAGGTGCTGATGGGCAATTGGATGGAAGAAACCCGTTTGGAAGCCGTAAGTCGTGTAGTCGGCCGCGCTCGCTATCGATCCGAATCGTTAAAACGTGTCAAAGGGGGTACGGATAATGTAATCGTAGAAGTCGCGTCCAACATGCAGCGGTAACGAATGCTGGCTCGGAAACCCGGCCGTAAGAAAATCCTTCGAAAAATATTATCATCACACACCCGTCCCGTTCGGGTTTTTTTTTTCGGTTCGATTTTTTCGATTTTTCCTCGTTGGTAAAACTTTACTGACACACTATTGAACAAACCCTCACGAACTCTTCATCGAGTTTCAATCTATGCCTCCGCCCGAGGTACTAGTACGTGTTTCTGTATAGAACAAGGGGGAAATATGTATTTAATTTTATATGAACTTTATACTTTGAAACTACCGATGTCTACGAACACACCAACACCGAAAACTGCCACAACTTTAACGCAGACTTAACAAAATTAAACGACTTTTAAATTGATGGTTAACCAATAGCAGAGTATTATACTCAATGGATATGGAATTCTTTTCGAAGGGATAAGGAGCCATTATTTTTTAAAAAAAAAAAATTACATGACCATGTTGGCTAAGAGCCACTGGTTTGAACCACTTTTTTTTTTCAATAATTAATACAATTTTTGATAAATATATTTATAATACTTAAGAGCCGTGGGTTGTCAACCCCTTATCTATAATATATTTAAAAACATTCGTAATTTATTTTCGTTTTCAAAGAATCGCCTGCTTATGATTGGTTTCTAGTATCATATTCAAAGCATTTTTTAACACGGTTCAAACTAAAAATGATTAGGAAATGAAATCGCTCAAAAACACTAAATTTAACTGTGAAATAAGAGTACATTGTTTTTTAGAGAAATAAAAAAGTATAAAATAACGTTTTATAAGTACTTGTACAACTATGAAAAGACAATTGTTTCAAAACTACTTAAACCGACTGGTAAACGATTATATAATCAAAATGTTACGTTTTTCTAAAATATTTATCTTGGAATCGACAAACGTTCAATTTAACACAGTATTAAATGTTTAAGAAACGATAATGATTTTTCTTTCACCGTGGGTGTTTCATTATTAACTCTTGTCCCATAATTTTATCAATACATCCCGTAATTTAAGATGCGAGTCATACTATGGATATTCAATCAAGTATGCGTGAATTATAAAAATAATAAAAATGAGTTACCCGTGAAATTGAATTATGCAAAGAAATAAAAATGATTTACATGCGCAATATACATTCAAATATAACGAAATAACACGATATTTTTATTTTGTTATATAAATGATAATTATGTTATAGTGATTTTGATGTAAAGACAATGTTAATAAAAAATTTTAAAAACATTTTTGTGTTCATTTTTAATATATTTCATCTTATTTCGGATCATTCGCAATGTTCGCTTATAATAAGAGTTAACATATAATAAAATATTTAATTTTCACCCTTGCAACGTTTTTCTGTATGTTTTTCTATACATGACGATGGATCGGTGTGCCTCGGTTTCCGTGTAAACTACGACACGTACGGTAATCGATATACCTAATCAGGAACGAATGGAACTGTATCGGGAGAAAAGAAAACGAAATGAAATGCTCGCGAAGAACGTTAATACAACAGTCGACAATCTATTGCGGCCAGTAAGTTTTGAACACTGTTTATTATCCAGTGATTTATCGTTCGGCTACGTACTCGATTCGGTTGTTTTTCATAATTAATATTCCGCAGCGATGACATTTACTTTTCTACATATAATATCGAGTATTCGAAACGTGTTTGATTAGCGATCGTTTTCGTTGGACCACGTTATAACAAGCATATTACACTGATTACGGTCCGTTTAAAATAGTTGCTCTGGAGTCGACAGCAGCCGCGCAGTTCACCGTTATGTTATGCGTTAAAATGTTTTCGACACTTATCGTTTAGAAGTTCAGATAGAAGCTGATTTTAAAAAACAATGCAATATATATTTATGTAAAACTTCACAGATGTCTTAGCTAAACTATCTTGTTTGTGACTTCATAACCTACGTCACCATGTACAGTGTGTGCACGGGTATTCAAGTTTTCCTTAATTTTTAAAAATTTATCGATCGTTCAGTGTTGTTTGTTATCTATTGGATACAGCATCCGATCGCTTTTTCGCGTGAATATCTGATTTGATATTTATGTAGAACATTAGACGAGTACGGAAAAGTAATATCGGGAGCCGAGTAAGTGGAATCAAACTGTTTCCGCTCCACCGTCGGGTCAAAAGAAGAAGAAAAGGTTTAATCGAAGAACACAACACAAAGTTCATAAAAACATGTAATTTTACGTCGGTCGTTTTTTTTTTTTTATTTCAAACCGTATACGCACTCTATCGCCCGAATCCGAGAAGTAGAATACGATCGGATTGTACATGCGATTTTCGCTAGATGGCGAAGACTTATTCGACTCGACGCGGAACCGCAACGCGTTCTGACCACATTTATTGCACTCGTTTGAACATCAACCGTAACATTCGTATCGGACGACGGTAGCAGTAGTCGAGTGTAAATTATTTCGCATTCGATCGAACAACCGACATGAATACGAGCGAGTACAGCCGTTACGGCGGGCGTGTGGCGAACTGAAGGACACGTAATAAAACGATAGTGAAAAAATTGATCTCTTATCGTTACGTAAACCATAGCTGAACAACTGTTTGAGAACACCAAAACGTCTCGGAAGGTTTTTGAACGTGTTCGGACGTGATCGGAAAAACGTTCGCCTCGTCGCCGACGCATCGGTTAAAACGAAAAACGCGCGAAAACGTTGTAACCGTTACACGGTGTTTAAAGGAACGCGTTCTATTTCCACCCCCCCCCCCCCAACCCCCAACCCCCAATCACCGGTTAAAATTGCGATCGGATCGATTGTTTTCGAACGGTTACCGTCTCGGATTACCAGATCGTAAAAACGACAGCGACGTCCGATTATAATACACTTCAAACGGCCGCCGACGACAATAATAATGGTAACGATGTACGGCGAACGGTACACCGAACAACGCCGCGTGAACGACGTGCGGTTCGACCCTAAAGCGTTTTTACGGCTTCCCGTCGGCCGGTCAGCGGCGGGCTAAAAGCAATAAAAATTTACGATACACGCGTACATCCAGTCCGGTCCGCAATCGTAATCCGACCCCCGTCGTCGTTATTATTGTTTTAAGTACGAGCCGTGGTAGTGTTTGTAACGATACGCCTTATTATAAAGTATAATAATATGCATATTAATGAACGGCAAATGATACTAATAATAATAATAATAGTAATTTATTCGGATGCCCGCTGCGGGATTTCGGACGACGGGACGAGAGTTGCGAAAAACGATTAAAAACGCAGTCGACCGCAGCGCGAACCGGTTTCGGACCGTGGGTTAACAAACCCGAATGCAAATCGCACCGAAACCTCTTACAGCGTTCGACCGAAATCCCGTCCGGTCGGACCAGTTGCGAGTGCACCACGACGATCGATCGAAATCCTCGCTGGTCGCCACTGACGTTATTATATTTATTTTTGTGAACACGATTGGCGCGAGCCGGGTAAGAATGGTAAAAAAAAAACAAAACCTGCTTCGATTTCGGCACAGCAACCATTGGTCGCGATAACTTCCTTTGCGCGAAGCTCGTCGACAGTATTTTTCATCGACGCGGAAATACATTTGGATGCGTTTTGGCGTTCGGAAAAAAAAAAAAAAAAAAAAAAAACTCTCCGGCGAAAAATATATCTCGCGTGTACACTGCCGCCAAAGCGCTGTAATTATAGTCTACGATTAAAACATCAACTTTCCGGTGGAATCGATTTAGTCTTCCGTTCCCCCGCCCGTCGTTTATCGTCGACGCGATAAGATCGTTGTTGTACACCGCGAAACGTTCGCCTAGTCTCGATCGCAAATGAAATTCGATTCGCGCGTACGTGTAACGTGCGTAAATCATATTTTTTCGTACCCGGGACGGCAGTCGCATTGCGTCGCGCGTCGCGTACCGGTTGACCAGGGCGACGTTTGCTCTCGGCACATAAATCCTGGATCACGGTTACCGGTGGTAAACGTGTACCAGGACACGATGACGTCCCCTGCGCAACCGGTACGGCTTAGAAAACGTTCACCTCTCCGGTACGAAAACGAACCAGGACCGGTATGAATGTACGCTTGGCCGTGATTGCCGACCGGATGGAAACGAAAATTTGAACATCGACGTAATAATTACGCCCCGGACGGACGAATAATCAGTTGTAATAGCAATTTTTGTAACCATTAACGAGTAATTTGATATTTTCAACTTTGATGAATACTGGTTAATATTAGGTTAAAACTCGACGAGTACGATTCTATATTAATTATTGGAAAAAAAAATTCTTGAGAAGAGTAATTGATTATTGGTCTATGGTAGGGCGTAATTTTAACGTTTTCCATCTGCGAATAATACACGTACTCGAGTACAATGTCTGCCGGGTGATAGGTAAAAGCGTCGTCGAGGACGACGATAACGGAACAGCCCTATCATAAATGTGTGTATAACAAAGCGTTTTGTGCCGCAGGTCGATTTGAACACTGCCTGCGAGTTCGTGAAGTACGGCCAAGACGTGCAGCTCGTGAACTGCGTCACTCCGGAAGTCCGGTCTCCGGGGTCGGTGGTCGCTTCCGGCTTTGACGGCGGTGAGTCCGGTGCCGGAATGTCGCTGTCGTGCGGGATCCTGGGCGAACAACTCTACACCGGATTGGGACCCGGCAGTCCGGTCACCGCTTCCCGTTTTACCGATCCCTGCGTGCGCAACTGTTTCAAATTTCGCGGGTAATTCGATAAAGCCGATAATTCAATAATCGCTTCGAGGCAAACAGATCCTCACCAACATTCGCGTGTTGGTTTTTTTTTTTTCGTTACGACAAACTTGTAATTTTAAGTCGCGTACGTCTGCATATTAAATACTTTTTGCTTTTCAGGAATTTTTTTTTTTATTTAAAAGAAAATACTTTTATTTTTCAACATTTTTGTAACATTTATATTTTATTATTTTCGACACATCATTACGATATTCGGTCATATTTTACCATTTTAAGTTCTCCCCGCTCCCCGTTGAACTGCCGGTAAAGCTCTGGCTTATTTACCGGTCACGGGGACTTGTTGGCATGGTCATACTTTTTGAACATTTAATTAATAATATTTTTAGTGCACATTTTGTGATTCTCAAGTGCATAAGCCGTTGCATGTTATGAGATTATTTTTTTTTTATATCCACATATCCTCCATCTTAATCTGTCTAATATTACTAATCACACGTGTTAAACTATGCCGCGTGGTGTCACGGCTATCAACGGCGATGGAGTGCAGGGACGAGGGTGTATGACAAAAACTATCCCTCTAAACAATTGCGGACACGCAGTCCGGATGGGCGAAAAACGACCGTTATATTCACGATCAGGATATTCGTTCGTGTACCGTCGGATGACGGCCGAGCCGAAATGGCCGTTTCCGCTTTCGACCGCAATAGGGTCGTTTCACACTGCGTTCGCCCGGAAACAATTTTTCCCTATCAGCCCTCGTTTCCCGTTCAAACACCCGTCCCAGCACTTGATATCCGTATACTCAGGCCGCGTGTTCTGTTTGCATTCTCACAAAGACTTTCAACACCAACAACTCTTCCATCGGTCACGAATTTGGTTAATGTTTCGGCACTTCTTTTCCAAACTTGAGTAGGATTTCTACAATTTTTGTAACTACGGTTGTAAAATATTATACGTTAAAGAGCTACACGATAGATATCCACCACAAGTAGGAAAACATTTTCTGTTTGTTTAGAATAAATAAAAAATAACGTTAATACATAGTTGTTACATTAGCTTGAGTAAAACTCGATGTCGACTTAAAATCAAGACTTTTTTTTTACACGCACCGGTCGAATTGATACGTTTAATCGGTTGGCAGTAATATTGTTATTGTAAGCCATAACAACATCTTAAAACCGACAAATTCTTGTTGGTAGAAAGTTACGGTAACAACTCTTGTTCAACCCTGTATACATTTTATTAGTAACCCGTAGGTGAAAATTTATTTATTATCTCCTAACATTTATATTTCAGGTATAGCAAACCCGTGCACAAATGCACCGTTGACCCAACAGCGATTTAGTTGTCGTAGTAAATTCGTTGTAAATCATGGTCAAAATTATCGTATTAACCGATTCTGCCTTTTGATAAAATATTTTGAAAAAATTGCACAACGGTTACTTCGCGTTTACTATGACAACGAATTAGTGGGAAACCGTGTATTTTATTAATTTGTACTTTTCACTCGGCGAATAGATTATATGGAGTAACGTTTCGAACAACGTTTTAGCATGGCCTCCCACCGATGAGACGTGTCAATACCGTTTTGAATGAAAAGAGAAATGATATTATTATAGTAAAAGACATTTTCAAAAAGGGTGTTTTCCCGAACTGCGCGTTAGATATCAAGCGAACAAAAAATTAGATATGCGCAGAATATCAGAAATTTACATTTTTTCTGATACGGGTAAACTTTACGCTTGGACGCGACGTTCAGTCGAACTTGCTAATCGATCAATATTATAATAACAATGTATCAAAACGTATTACTATTGTACGTGTGTTTAAGTCGAACACTGAAACGACTATATACGGTGTCCGCATGGTGTACGCGGTATTGATTATGCGTTAACAAATAAAATAACTGCAGTGGCCAGGACAAAATCAATTAACGAATAACGTTTTTTTTTTTTTTCAAATTATTTTTAACACTCGCTCTTTACCGTTGTCTATCAATTGGCTCTATGTGAACGACGTAAAAATAATTTTTAGGGGCATTGGAAACTATAAGTTAAATTATTTATGTGTACGTGTACGTGCGTGTTTGTTTATGTGTGGCAAAAAAAAAATCGTTTAAACTTTATTGCGTAGTGTATGACGCCGCAAATGGCGTACGCCCAATACCGAAAAGCGTCGATGGGTTTTTCAACTTAGACATTTAAGACTAGACGGTTCACTATTATTTTAACGGTCGAACGATCAAACTTAACCTAAGCATTTTATGTTTTTCTATTAATTCGGAGAAAGATACTTTCAAAAAGCGGCGCGCTGGGACAAAAACAACAATAATTGTTATCGAATGCGTTTAATGTACTACGTTTGCGGTGCTGTCGTTTTGGGCCGTTTAACGGCAGAAATTTAGATCGTGCAACACCATAGTAATACCGTTTTCCAAGTGTTACGGACCATTGGGAATAAATGCAATATAGAATATTGGTAAACACACTGGTCTTGTATTTGGGAAAATTCGTTGGCAAAAGCTCGCGGAACGTATTTTCAATAATAATAATAACAATATGATCGTAATACTAACGACACAAGTATCCTGTGAAACACGTTTTATTTTTGCAGAATTTTCTAAATACCAGCATTCAATCTTAATTATAAATCGTATTCCGATTACAGTCGACACACCTCATCATGTTGTCCGGCAGTTTTGTAAATATCGTTTAAAAACATTTCAAGTGCGCGTTGAGAAAATGTTGAATCGCTGAACGTTAGTAAAACGATACGACGACAATGTAAACATCGTACATGTACGTAACTTCGTCGAAAACCCGATCGCAGTAACGTATTTTTAATCGATGTACACGCGCAAACGCAGCAACACTTGGCGCGATCACGTTTTGACGGAGAAAAGATAAAAACCAACATTAAAACATACATCGGTGTACGGCAGTGTTTGCTTCGTACTCATTATGTCTGTGTCGGGTATACGGCGGGAAATAAATCCTTGGCGAGAAGTGTTACTCGTGAGTTTTCGGTGCACCTGACGTAGTTAAGACCGCAGGATTTCGATAATCGACGAGTTCTTCGCGGAAAACTCGATGACGGTGTAACCATCAAACTTACGGTGAAACGTTCATGTAATTCGTAACATTTTGGTTTGGACCGTATCTAAATATCTTGCAGCAGACTGTGCAGTGAATTATTGTTATTTTTCATTAAACAACGTGTCCTTGCGAAAACAAATTAATTAAAAAAAAATGATCGAGATTTCGATAAAACGGATTTATTCGCTCGAGTTCGTTCGTTCGCGATTCGTTTTCAGCGCGTCTCGCGATGTTTTGGAGATCTTTCAGTGAACCTTAAAGATAACCTTTTCCGATTGAAATATCTCTGTTCCGATCTGCGTACACTGTACACAGCGGAAACGCAGAGCTCATACGTACGATGTTGCGTTACCGCATCGAGGACGAAAACACGTACGCACGGTTAATTTAAAAACGATAACAGTTCCCACGTTCCGGTAAAAAGGAAAAAAAAATGGAAAAAATAATGAAATAATAATGAATATCATACGCTCTCGCAACGCATTGCTGTACGCAGTGGGGTTTTATTATTTTCGTCGCGAAATCAAATGCAATATATTACACCTGTCGAGGTAACGGCGTGTAACGTGTAGTAATTACAACGGTATGGGATTCCGAATAACGTCCGTTAATAGCGATCGCAAACATCTCGTGTCCGCAGAGTCGATTAAAGAAGTATTGTGTAACGCAGAATATTGAACGAACGATCTTGGGGTTATTAAAGAGGGAAACCCTACGGTTTTCAAAGTCACGTTTCCAGTTGTAATATTGTTACGATAAATGTACAGCATTTAAAACATGGGTTTCCGTGTCGTACAAATTATTACGTATAATCCACGGCCGCGTAATTATTTTGTTTTAGCTTGAGAAGCGGTTGTGAAGACGGCAAGTTTTTGAAGTTCGGCGATATCTTCGCCATTAGCCCGTGCGTCTCCTCTGAAGTAAGGCCTTCCGCGTACATTACACCATAACAATATGCCACGAGTTTTATGTGGCGAACGAAGTGCAGTAATAATTTTTAGACGAAAAGAAAAAAACGTTACGCTTTAAACCCGTGATTATCTACAGTATTTCCGAGTAATCGCGATAATGTATGATTGTGCAACGTACATAAATAACGTTGAAAATACTTAAACTCGACACCCGTTTAAATATCTCTACGATGTTCGTACAAATTCCATGTGATCACTAAAACTTCTCAATGTAAGTACTCCGAGTAGACTCCAATAGTTTTTCGTGTCATACTGAGATCAAATGAAATAGGTACAAAATTATTTTTCTCCGTAGCCAACGGTTTTGAATAATTGCGATGTATTGTTTTTTTCTTACGGGTTTGATAAGCTAAATGTAATACTCGGTCGACAACTAATAATTAGGCAAGTGTTTATGCGCATCTTGATATCATCAAAGTGCTATTTCCACAATGTTAAGCATGAATTATTCCTACTGCGATCGATTTTCAAATACCATAGTTTTTTAGTTTTAATCGTTTATTTTGTGCAAATATTGTGTTGATAATAAGTGTTGGCGTTTTCAAAACAGAATAATCGTATGAACTATTAAAATGTTTTCTCGAGGTTTAACCAACGAATGATAATTGAGCTTTAATCGAGTTAAAAATTTTATTTTATTTTATTTAAAAGTTATTTTATTTTTCCTTGCAATATTTTCGTAAGACTTAAGTAAACAACTTATAATAAAGATTACAAGTTGTTCGCGAATTTCCATTATTAAACGCCACAAAACGTGGGCACGTCTAATAACGGATATTCACTCCGTGCATAAACTTCATGAGCTTTACATTTCCCTACTAGTACATATTGTAAACTTCGGCGGTACCAATAATAATAATAATAATAATAATATCTAGTATTCAAGTTTATAAAGTCCCATCAAATATACGTAGACATCATACACTAAATAATACGTGACGAAGACGACGAAATCGGGCACGCACTAACCCCCGCGAAGTTTCAGCACCATTATCTGGTAATTGTGTCACATAATGTTATATCTCTGGACGTTGTTTCGCCGGCCACGAAAAAAATCCGTACAATGAACATATTAATTGTAGTCTAACGATAACGTTCTAAAATTCTGTTCACACACATAATGTTTTGCGCATCGTACACGGTCCAACTAAATGGAAACAAATGAAATTATATATATATTTTTTTCGTAATTTTTATGCACCGTCAAATGAGATAGGAACCGAATTCTACGAACGGTAAAAACGTTCACGCACGAATAGAACCGAGTTTAAATATGGTAGGACGTTTATCAGAAGCGCGAAAGCGGTCTGGCCATGTTTTGCAATCCCGTAAAATAAATTAAAGCAATATAAAGTATGGGTAAGGGGAAGGAGAGCGTCTGAACGCAAGTTCAACGGTTGGAACACGGCAAACCGGCGGGTTTTCGTTTTCCGGACGGCATTTTCCGTCTCGGTAGATAGGAAACCACCGCAATACCGCACAAACGTTGTAGTTGAATTTTGAACACAATCGTTGAGATTTGAAATAACACCAAACACGGAAGTATCGTTAAGCGGAAAGAAATCGAAATAAAATTAAAAATTCTCAACAATCGCAATCGTTACTAATTCACGGTGGTATACGGAACGGTCTTGATTTAAAAGATATTGATCAAAAACCACATACTTAATAATGTAGAAAAACACGATGTAGGGCCCGTAGAAAGAAATGACCGCGTGCACAAGATACGTTCACTATTTCGATACGAATCAAACGTAATTTTTTATACGTCTTTATTTCATTCGACGACCGCTCACGTTCGCAGCACACGCGGGCGCAACGGCAAACACGGTCGGTGCGGTGGACAATAAACGATCGCACGACACTCTACTAACACGTATTGCGCGTGCGCCCGGCGATAAAATGTTTAAAAAATAAATAAAAAAAATAGCTAACGAAAAAGATTAAACAGAAATCAAACAATCGTTTTAAACCCGATCGCGCTTTATAACCCAACACCGTGATACTCCGGGCGCTGTTAATTTCTACGCGTTTGTTTGGACGCGCGAACCGTTTGTTCGTTTACGTGACCGATAAAACGTCATGTGGTCGTCGACGCAGCCGTTGTTCGTCACGGCGGCCGTGCCGCGCCTGCACACGGGTCGAGGGACGTGCGGTCGTCCGACGCTCAAACTGACCGGAACGCTGGACGAGCAGTGCCGATGGACGGTCGTCTACTGGGACGCCGGGATGCAAATGAAATCCGAAGGGCTTCCGGTTCCGGTGAGAAAGACTTATAATAGCTTAGCGCGATCGCGACCGGTAGCGAACCGAAGCGAGCGGGGGAAAAAAATAAACCGATTGTTTTCGTAAATAATTATTATCTCACGGCGAGCGAGCGATTGCCCTTGAAATCACTCGCGCTACCCACCTGCGCGCAAACGCACGCACGCAAACGCGCGTCCTCCGTGGTAGAAGTAGAAGTCGCGCGCACCGCACGCAACCAGTAACCAGTTACCGTCCGTCCGGTTCGACGTGCGCGACGGAGAAAACCACCGTTGCCGCGTTACGACACGTAGTCGTATCGCCGGGACGTTTTCGATTCGACCGATGTTATTGCCGTTTCGAACGTTTGCAGAACGGATGTCGAGCGAGCTTGAAGCAAACGTACACGGGGCGAAACGTCGCGGCGGAAACGGACTTTCGGCAATCCACGTATTTCGGCGACGTAAGTAAACACATTTACACGGTACACGATTCGCGGCTCCCGGCCCGGTCGAACGTTTTACCGTTGATTATAAACACTGTACACGATCAATAAAACCGTTGATACGATCGCGTTTCGCACCGATTGCGCCTGTTCCTTGCCCTCGGCCCGGATTCCAGCCCCGTCTCGGCGGTAACGCGGCGCGATGCCGAAATTACCATAATACATCTTCGACGTACGTCGATAAATCACGTTTCCGGATCGTCTCGATTCAGCCTACGGAACCGTGTGGCATTCGACGTGCACCCGTCGCGCGTTATTAATACGCTACTGTTCGTGTCGTTCGCGAACAATCGATTTCCCATTTCCGCGGTACACCCGGTCGGGTCGAACGGTATTATAATCGCCGCCGACCGCCGGAAATGCGATTTTGATCGCCGTTGCCATTACACGCCCGCGGTCAAGTCGTCGTTCCATCTCTCAGCCTCCGGTCGCTTTCCGCTTTCGACCGCGGTCGAGGTCAGCGCGGCGGCGGAGGAAAGCCCATTACGGCTCGCGCGGTCTTATTGCCGCGTATCGACGGGGATCGATTAAGGAATGCCACTGCCGCCGCCCGGGCTCTTGATATGTCATTCGCCAAACTAGTTTTACCCGTCGCAACGACCGCAACCGTTACACGATCGGATACGTTTCTCGTACGAGCCACGAGAAGGTCATCGTCACCGGTCGCGTCCCACGACGACTTGTTTTTCACCTTTTTCGTTGTTGCCGTCGTTGTCGCATCGCGCGCGGCTGCGAGACGACAACCGACGGATGTTGCGGGTCCGAACGTCGGACCGAGACGGTCGACGGGTGTGAAAAGTTTACGAGGACGGACGAGAAAATAAATCGTGTTACGGGTGTGCGGTTATCGTGAGAACGAGTGACGTCGGCGGAAATAGGAGACGGAGAGGACGCTGCCGGACGTTGCGTGTGCGGCGAAGGAAGACCGTGAAACGTGCGTGCGAATGGGATGGCGCGATACGAGGACAGCAGGACGTGAAGGTGCGACGACGTTGTGGGTCGTGACGAAGGCATAAAAAACCGTGACGGCGGCCGGTTGTTGTCCGAATACAATGGAGGAGCCCTTCCAACTGTGTTTTTGCGCCGACGACAGAGCACGGACGTTATCGCGGTTACGTGGGTTTTCCGTCCAAGTCGGTCGCTGCGATTCGAAATTTTTTCCGAGCAAAACGACTGTCCTCCGAAAGGAGCGAAAAGCCGGTAAAACGGCAGACCGGCCGCGGTGGCGATGAGAGACCGTTGGACGAGATCGTTTGACGTTCAAGCGAAATACATGAGTTTTCGCGCGGACCGATCACACGACACTCGTTCGAACCAAAAAAAAAAAAAAATGGCGTGCCATATCGTTCCGAAAAAATCGATTCTATTCAGTTATTATACGTTTATGCGTGATAAGCGCACAGACCGTCGCAGTGGGGCGATTCGTCGCGTGGTTGAACGGTTTACGCGATTTCGCGCACTAGTTTTCGAAATTTTAATAACGCGTAATTATAATCAACACTCGACCCCCCACCGTCACCGCCGTTGATGACAAAGACTATTCATCCATTTACCGGTTGAAAAAAAGTTATACTTGTACAGCGTATATAATGTAATTACTCTCCGTCGCTTTGTGCGCAGTGTTTTGTACGATAACCGTGTTCTTTTATTAATGGATTGTAACGGGCACCGTTAATCAACGCACGTTCGCACGCAATTATACACGAAACGTAAAATCGCGTTTTGTGTTGGTTTTTTCCCTCCCCCCCCCATTATTTATTAAGCGTAAAACTATTGAGTGCGGGATAGCCAAAAAAGAAAAAAATTATATAACAACCTATCCCGGTCAAATTAACATTGATGACGTTCGTTAACAAAAGGATAACCGCATGTTCTCGGTGCATGGCGGTCGTGTTACGTTTCGAGTGCCGTGTAGGTACTTGCGACGTGCCGCGAACCGAATCGGCGGTGGTGCGAATGAAAAGTCCTGAATGCGATAGGGCGTCGACTACGTCGGACGGTGTACGTGCGCGGTGAAAGAAACCGTGCGTAATATTCTATTAGACGATACCGCGAGTATGAAAACAAAAGATTTTCGTTGGAGCGCTTACCCATCTCGCGGCGCATATGCGTAAAACAATATTGAACGAGAACGTTCTGGAACACGTTTTCGTTAAAATTTTCCGTCCGGTTCCGTGAAAACCGCGCATAAACGGACGAGAACAGGACGAATCGTTGTCGATTTTTAATCCGAAGCCCGGGGACGGCTGCCGGTCAGCGGAGAGGATGACGGTAAACGGCGTTGATCATGTCCACGGCAAACGCGCGTTAAACTGCCGCTCGGACCATGTAGGGTAAAGTGAGGTATTTTCGTGAAATTATTTGTTAAACGCATAACATAATTCCCTATTATACGACCGATTTGAAAATTACATTGATCCTTAAAATTACTATTTTTAAGGGTCAATGTAATTTTCTAGTCAATCGTGTAATAGGGAATCACATTATACGTTCAACATATTGTACCATAAAATTGCCTATGTCACGGAAATACCTTACTTCACCCTACATAAAACGTACGATCGCGTTTCGAACGGGACCCGCCGCGTGTCCGCGATAAATCGATTTGTTACTGATCGTCGCGAATGCAAGTCCGTCGCTGCGAAACACCTGTTATTATTATTGTATTTATGGCATACGTGCGTAGTACAACACGTGTATACCGTAAATACAATGATATCGGTAAAAACGTAATAACAACCAACGGCGGTGTACAGTTATTGTGCCGGCGAACCTCGCGTTTCCGCCGTCATTCCTAGCCACGTGAACACCGTCGACACTTGCAGAATCAGAATATATTTCAATTATAATTCCGGTTCGGTCGGTTAATGAGATCACATTTTTTTTTTTTTTTTTTCCAAACCTTCCTAAACCAGATCGTTTCCAAGCTAAATATATGTTCCAACGGCATACCAATCTAATCGATTTATTTTCATTTCGTATGTTTTGTTATATCTTGGAATAATTTTTCATGATTTTAGCGAATTTTCAACTGTCCTCCACCGCGTAAGAGAAAACCCGTTGATTTATTATTTTTTATGACGAATAAAAATAGAAAAGTTCATCGATAGAAATACATCAACTGTACGCATTAGTAATGGTTGATGAATTTTAAATCAATTTTGAAAAACGATTTATTAATTCATACGATTTTAACACCGTTGTGTGTCTTGCATTTTTAGCTTTTAGATGAACAATACGTTTTTATATTATTTTTATTTTGTATCGTAAATGTATGATTTTGGAACATTTTTTTGGGCTTTTAAGGGCATCAACATCCGGACTTTATTGATATCGTACGTAAACTCCGTCCGATCGTAACTCGTCATCACAATCGAAAATCACCGTTTACGTCGTTTCCGAAGCATATATATACGTATTTGAAAGCAGCGCACTGCGCGCATTATGATAATATCACCAGTATTTTATATTGGATCGTTTTATCATAACATTAAAGCCGCGTATCAACCTATTCCTATAGGTTACCAAAATATTTTCAAATATCTCGGCAATAATATGTCCAACGGGTGTTAATATCATAGGCGTGCGCTGCAGGTATGCAGGGTATGCAATTGCATATCTTAAACATAGAGCCTTCTTTCCACAGTTACATAAAATTAATAAAAATTATGACATTTTCGGTCTTATGTAAATTATGTGATTTTTATTACATTTTTATATTCAGTCCCAGACAGTTTAATTTATTTTTGAAACGCAAATCATATGCTATAATAACGATTTGATGTGTTAATGAAATTAAGAAGTACAATAATTCAAGTGAGATCAAATAACTATGAACTACAGAACAAGAAATGGCTATAAATTAAAATCACGAAAACATTATTGGTGATGTTAAAAACTCAACTGTACGCAGAATCGTTTTATGATTGATTTTAATTATTTATTACATTTATTTTGTTTTTCATTTAAGTATATAATTACGTTTTTATTTATTTACCCTATTTAAACGTATCACTCAAACCATTTCAAGGGTTACGTATTTAATTTTTTTTTCCTAATTTATTTTAAATTTTAATTATGAAGACAGTTATAACGATTAATAAATGGCTATTCAAGTCACTTTTTTCGGGAAAAAAAATTAAAATTTTAAATCAAATAATTGTTAAGATCAGAATTTTGAACGCTTAAATTAAATTTCAGTTTTAGGGGGGGGGGAAGGAATGGTAGGCAGTGACAGCCTTTTGCGTACCCTGAAATAGAGGTCTGCGCACGCCTATGTTTAATATGTTCGTATATGTTTGAACGGGCCGAGACCGATTCAACAATTGAATTAGGTACGTTTTATTCGATATATATACATCAGTCGACGTGCATTGCGTTATTACAACTCTGGTAATATTAATGAACACTTGCTTGTTTTTATTGCGTGGTCGTACACAGAACCTGAACTCGTTAACAATTCTTCGAAAAACGATAATATATTATTACGCAACGTCGTTGTGTTTATGCTGTCCCCGGTCCGTAAACTTTACGGAGACGGTGTGTACTTAAATAAAAACAACAACGAAAGGCACGACAATGACGACAAACCGTCTATAAATATATATAAATATCACAATATTTGACACCGATACACGTAACTAATAATAAATCGTCTACTCGCGCTGTAACATAAGGTACAATAATGTACGAATCAGAGACAGGAATCGAACCGAAAAGAACCTACACTGGAACCGGAACCTTTTAAATAATAGGAACCGATACCGGAACCGAAACCTTTATTTTGATAAATGAAGTACCGGGAATTTTTAAATTATAAAGGTTCTTTTAGGTTCCAAAATTAAATAGTTTTATTTAGCATAGATTATTTATAGTTACTTTTTTGCTTATAAATAATCAGGGATCCATTCTTATTATGTTTATACCTAGAACTATACAAAGTTCTTATGCTTATTCTTTAGCTATTTAAAATGACATTTTTGAAGTGTTTATTACATGTATATTTATCACAAAATAACATTATATAGAAATGTTTTTCCCAATATATACCATAATTGGAATCTATATTATCTTCCAAATAAAGCGATGATATTAATAGAATAGACACACTACCCGCTAGTGTAAATTGTAGTTCATAGTTCATTGACGATTGACGAGTATTGTAAATATTTTTTAACGACTGCTCCTATGGAGCGAAAGCTATTATTTATAATTTAATTATTTTTAACCTATTTATCGTATGCAATTTGTAATTTAAAACTTTATTATCTTCTAAATTCTGATACATAACGATTTAGTTTTACCAGTTATAATAGATTTTATATCAGTAGGGGGGCAACGTTGTTGATTGTCAGCAATAGATATTAAAATAATTTTTCGTTTACTACTATGCTACACTAACAAGTGGATGATGGTATATTATAGTATATTCACAATTTTTTTTTTTTTTTATTGATAAGAAATAATATTATATTATATACTGATAACAGAAACCGGTACTTAAATAATCTGAAACCTGTACGTTTATTAATTTTCGTAATACAACCGGAACCGAACCGGAACAGCTATTTTATTTTCTGAGAACCAGTACCGGAACCGATACCGATAAATTCAAACGGTTCCAGTCCCTGGTACGAATTATCTGTATAGTAGCGGTCGCGTGATCCTTTAAGACACGTTTACAGTTTACGGGACGAAAAATCACGTCTCGTGAACACCACGTATATCTTACGCATATCTCAGTCCACGAAATTACGAAAATTATTTTGAAAATTATTTGTTTATGATTTTTTTTTTTTTTTTTATATAAACGAGTAACATTTGAAACAGTGCTTCCCAATATTTATTTACTCAAAACATTCTTTGAATTTTCGGCAATCTCTCGTCGTCTGCATACCCACGGATATTTTTTTTTTTTAGAAACTAACAGTTTTATATTTGAAAACTATCAACGGCTTAATTAAAATATCGAACTTTCTACGGTAAAATAATTGCACAGAATTACGTATATGTGATCAGTAACTGTCTTGAGGTTGATGATTTACTGCTAATGGAATTATATCTGGTTCGATTAGTCTTATATCTAGTTTTTCACTAATTTCTAATCAATTCCTTGATTTTCTGAGAAGTTGTTCGACCACACCGAAGCCTATTTCGACTAGGCGTGTTTACGGACAAGTTATAGTTAGTAACTCCACTTCTCTACAAAAATGTAGGTACATAGTTTTTGGTTTGATCCAACAACTCGTATGACAAAAATGTAGGTGACACAAGAATCGAATTCCTTAGCGCTACCGAAAAGGTGTAAACGGCCCTGTACGGAATCCCTAGTTGAGAATAGTCCACAGAACAAGTAGGTATTACAATCGTCAACCGAAACCAATTATCGCCGTTTTTCAACAATGACATATTACGATTCTAGTGCGATTACTAAAAGTTTTTACGATATTAAAACAATTTGGGCATTAGAACATCAATGCCAAATATCATATTAATAAACTTAATTTTTTTTTTTTCCTTTTCTAGTGTAACATTAGAATATTAGATTATTAAAGAGCCATAAACAATTATTTGATACGTTTGCTCATCAAACCAATCTCCTCCTAAAGTCTCTTAGATGTCGATTACCAGAGACTTAAAATGTCGAACGAGGCTCGTTTGTTTGAAAATATTGTTGATGTAGGAGATGTGTACTACTCGAGTACTGTTTGTTGTTTTCGAACATTGTAAAATGGTCAAATCCGGTGGTTTCCCTTCAAATGTTTGGATGAACGCAATAGGAAATAGTATGAATATACATCGCTTAGCCCCGATACTTTTACCGTCGGCGATAGGATTGATTTTAAGAACGTCGACGGTGGTAAACGGTAACCATCATCGCGGCGATGGTGCATCGTTCGACCGGTGCGCACCGCCAAAGCGTCCGAACCGCGGCGTTCGTCCCGCAACATTTTAGATGCGCGTGTACGGTGTGCAAACGGTTGTGCGCCGTGATCGACCGGTTGTCTTCGTTCTGCGCGACGACGGGATCGACAACACCTGGACCGCGCGATGAATATTAAATACGACGAAAATAAAAACAACCGTAAGAGTACACTGCGCCGTTATCATCGTGTCGAATTTGATATTCGGGTAATACCAGGACCGTGTTTAAGATTTCTCGGCCCAGGGGGTAACATAATTCTACCGCCCCTATTACCCGAACCGTAAGACTGAAGATAACTGTTTCCAACTGTTCGTTAAAAAACCGCTCGCAATTCGTTCGTCCCATTTCAGTACACTATTACACAATATTCGTAATTCCTATATAACCCAAAATAACAACCGAGTCATAATTATGCAGACAAAGTTATAGATAATTGTCTTTTACAAGGCCGATGGTGGTGGTACCCTTAAATAATTTAGGACATTCCGGTCTGAACGTTCCAGAAATGATCGAGAACAATAACCAATACCTATGTCTCAATAGAATACCATGTTAAATAAAATACTTTTAAAACAGATATACATTTTCTACGCTCCTAAACAATATAAATGATTTTATAGTATAACATTTGTTTTCTCAAAATAATTGTATTTGTTCGAAAGTAATTTTCCGTTGAGAATGCGAAAAAATCGATTAGGTTTTGTTTGGAACCATCGTAAAAATATTCCTTTAAATGTTTCAGTGGGGCTATTGCCTTAAACGCGGCCCTGGGTAATACGCAGCAAAATGATCTTCGTTCGAGTCGACCGTAAACATTATCGTAACACGAACCCCGTCGTGTCTTCTGTAAAGCAGAGGCGACTTGTAAAACGAGCCCCGGTAAAAACCTTTGTTTTCCGCTACGTTTCGCTTAAATCGATCAACACTTGTTTGGTACGCCGGTACGTTTATGAACATTTTTAGTCATACGTAATTCAACAGTTATAATTGTAAACCGAGCGGGGCCGAAACAGTTTTTACGGTTTTTAGGTGGTTGTGTAAAATTAATCCGTCCCCGGTGAACACGTTGGAACCGCTTTCGCTGGTGTGCGGCAGAGATAAAAGTAAACGTCACCCGGACGAAGATAACGAGCGGTACGTTCCGCAACGCGCACGAAAACTATCGGTTATTGCGATAGAATTTTTGTTTTTTCCGTAAGCCATTTAACTTTGCTGTTTCACTGTCGATTTTAATAAACCGTATCCGAGATGACGGTATCGCGTGATGGCCGATGAAGTATTTCTCCACTTGGACGCAGTACGTTTTCTCGTCGTCCAGAGTCCGCGGGGCTGGATGAATGAGGGGCTTGGTGGGGAGGGTTAGGCCTCGAGCCGCAAGTTGAAAAGGGCCACAACAAGCCGCCATTTTTTTTCTTCGTATAAAATTGCATCAAATAAATATGTTAAAAAAATAAAATGTCATTACAATTTTCAACAGTATACAAATAAACTAAACTTATTTTAATTATTATCTATTACTACTCAAATAACTAAATCTGAAAAAAAAAATGGAATCGTTTTCTGCAAAAGGGTCTCACTAAATGTAATAGCCCACTCGTATATGACCGAAATCCGGACTTTGGGATTCCACCCCGGGGATGCGATCGTAACCGCACGATATTGTTTTGTCGAATGATTCTCAAATGTGTTTGTATTCGTTTCGTCCGCGCAGGAATACGAAGTGAGCGCACATTCGTACAAGGGATTCGGAGGTCGTGACAAGAATATTTGGCAACTGATCGCGTGTAATGGTCGTCCGGAGGAACCGGTGATGGACAACGGATACTGCGACACGAAAAAAGAATAAATACACTGCATTTTACTTCGTAATAGTATTATAATATACTTACATCGATTTTACTGCAAAAAGATAAAACAACGAACAAACATACGTTCAATAAAAAAGTGCAAATCATTTTTTTTTTTTTTTTTTTGCTGTACAGGCGAAAACGCTAATACAATATAATATGGTCAAAAAAAAAAAAAAAAATAGTATTTGATTATCAGTACAAATATTTGTTTTTGGTATAAATAAAAAGATAATATATAATTTCGTCATCACAATATTCATCAGAAAATAAATAATAATTCGTTTGAATTTCGATTTAATTGTTGAGTATCCGAGAAAACGTAATGATTATACATGTTATAGAGTCTCCGCACGCGGTATATTATAAAATACAATAATTTTACTATAATAAAATTGTTTAAAAAAAAAAAAAAACAAAATATTATTAAAAATGATACAGCTTCACGCTTAAAACACACAGTTATCAATAGACAAATTAATGTATTAATCTTAAAACACGCGTTAAAATACAAAACTAATAATTATAATAATAAATAAACGCACAGAACACATGTGTTGAATTGAGCTTTGGTATAATATGTGTATTATAAACAACTCGAAAGAAACGATAATAAAACGACGCGAGAAGGGAGTGGGGATGAAAAAAAAAGATTAGAAAAAAAATATTTAATAAAAACTCAGACTTATCGACGCTCTTTGACAGTGTCCCTCGAAGTGAAACGATTACAAATAATAATAATAATAATAATAATAATAATAATAATAATAATGGAGGAATAAAATGGCAAAGAAGAAAACAAGCGCTTACACATAAATGTTCTGGAAAAGGTTTCCCTTACAAAATGATAGATCTATAAATTGATTTTAATTTGTACACTGTACAATTTTCGATAGTAATAATAATAATAATAATAATAATATTAATAATATATGGCGTATGCGTGCAACGTGAAAGTGCATGCGAATTACATAATAATATGATATAGAAAATAGCCACGCGCGTTATTTCGTCAAGACGTTTTCGTCCTCTGGCTGGTGCGGCCCCGAACGAACACAATGGGTGAATGTGGTACGATTCCAAAATGGTATTTTGAACGCGTCAAAACGATTCTGTGGACAGAGGACACGAGTCGGTTCGATTAAACGATACACATGTTAAGCCGTTCGGTAGTAAACCGTTTTCGTCTGTTTTCAACTCACATGTGGTCAGTTTGCTCTGCAAGATCGGCGAGAGGATCTCCTCGAGACTGGCAGACGATCTCAGTTCTGCGTTTGACAGACGGTCGACCTGGAACCGAATTAAAAAATAAGTAAATCGAAAATCGTTTCTCATCCATAATGACGTTAAGGCGTACACTGCGCGTGCGATTCACGTCCTTTGATCTAGCCGGGAATATTGGATTTTAAGGGCGCATGAGACTACTACGCTCGAACGCGAATACGCTTTTATTTTATTTCAGAAAATAAAATTTGACACGGTAGTCTCGCTGCTGTTAAATTTTACCCAGTAGGAGATTTTATGGCAGCGATAAACTTGATAGAACGGAACGAACGGAATATCATATTCAAAACATATTTTCACGGGAATGTAACTCGACGATGAAACTGTGGTACCACTATACGCTAAACTATATTCTTCGTAAGTTTTACTAAAATCAGGAAAGTGAACACTCGTGAAATGTAAAGCGCATTTTTGTATTCGGTCGATTTATGCGTTTTCGCGCGTTGTTGCCGGAAGTTTGGTTTTTAAATAAATACATCGGCCGTCCTGTCCGATCCGGTCATACCAGTGCTAACGGTGGAGATGACGGAGACGAACTGCAATGGTGTTTGCACAAAATCTCTTAACAGAAGTGAAAACGTTACACGCGTATTTGGAAGCGCACAGTACAAAATTGATCCGTCCGTGTGATCTGCACCGGTCACGTTGGGTTAAACCAATGTATGTACGTCTAAGAAACTGAATTACGTATTGCATAGCATTGACTAATTCACTAACTCAATGCAACGTTTATAAATGTTGCGCGTTCGGAACGAAAACGGGCGATTTTTCTCAATTCGTGGTGAACTATCGAAAATACCTATTTGGACCAAGCCGATGATCCGAAAACGTTCCAACGGTCGTAACATATAAATGACGAGCACCGGCGGTTGATCGGATTTTCGGGACACGCGGACGAGTTGCGACGTTACGAGGCGTCGTGATGACTGTTCGGTCGAAAACCCTTGAAAAGCGATTCGAGTAGAAAAAAGTGAAAAAAGTGAAAAAAAAAAACAAATAAAACTTTCATGTACAACCACTGTCGACGCGCGGCGGGTTCGCGCGATCACGGTTTCGGTTTTAAGCACTCGTGTCGCGACCGCGTTTTAATCGATTTTCTCATCGCGCTCGCAAGTTCGAGCGGGACGAGAAAAACCAAACGAACAATAATAATCGTAACCCACTCACGTGGTTGTGCTGTGGAGAAAAGTACGTGGGGGCCCTGGAAGAGGAGCGCACGGCCGACGACCGGTTGGACAGGTAGAGGAACTCGTCGCCGTCGTGATGGGTCGACCGGCTGTTGTACGCGTGCTGCTGGTGGTACTGCTGATGCTGCTGCTGCTGCTGCTGGTGCTGCTGCTGGTGGTGCTGCTGCTGGTGGTGCTGGTGGTGATCCCATTGCGACGGCCGCTGTTTGCCGCGGTCGCCCGGCCACGGTATGACGCCGTTGGGCGTGTTGGCGTGCTGGCCGAGCACGCCGCTCTCGAACGACTTGCTGGACTTAATGGACTGACCGACCGCGGCCGAGGTCTTCGCGTCGTCCGCGGCGGTCGCGGTGTTCCGGTTGGCGTCGACCGCCGCCGACGCCGCGGGCTGAGACGTTTTGCCGTCCGGGTTGTTGTTACTCCGGTTCTGGTACGCCGCCTGGTTGATGTTCTTCGGCGGCCCGTAACCGCTCACCGGGTACACGCGGTCCGGCACGCACTGCCACGGCGTACCGCCGCCGCCGCCGCCCACGGTTCCGCGGATCTCTTGGCTGGACCACGTTCTCGTCCCGTTGGACCGTTGTTCCGCGCCGTTGCTGTCGGAAATCAACACAAAAAAAATCAAAAAACAACAATCCACACGAGCGGTTCGCGTTCCGTGGCCGGTTTATTCGGCGGCGCTTACCCGTTGCTCGTCGACCGCGTCGAGTTGTTGTAGGCAAAGTCGCGCGCCTGATTTTCCGTCCTCCTGTTGTGCGCGTTGTCCTTCTGCTCCAGATCGTGCAACCTGGTTTTCAACAATCGAAACACGATCGAATCGAACGTTCAACATCGCGCGTACGAGCACGCGCAGGGACGAACATTTCAACTATCCCGACAGCAACCCGTACGCAATTGCGTGTTGCGACGGGAACGTTTTCGGTAAACCGTCTCAGCGCACCCCGTCATCGTACCGATATAACCATAGGCGTGCGCACCACAAGGTCGACTACTACACTTTTGGGCCAACAAAACGACAACGTGCGAACAATCGAAAACTTAAATTTTGCGGTACATTAGTTTTAACGTATATTTGTTCCTTACCAGCAGTCCGGAGTCGATAGGACAAGCAAAGGCCGATGGCGGTACTGGGGTAACGGTTACACCGGTACCGCCACGGAAAAATTGGTTTTTCCGAGTTTTGGGAGGTGTACAAATGTTCAAATGACCATTACGAATCTGTACAAACGAAATAACAATCGATAGGATAATTTCGGAGTTGTAAATACAATTTGGTGGTACTGGGGTAACGGACCTGTTTTCCTTGGATCTCGTATATTTTTCTCGGGCAACTTAAATTGTTTACGATCTGTATACTTGTGATTAATTGTATCCGTTACGTCATCGTGATAAGTTTTTGCACGAACATTTATTTGTTTATTACCAAACATCGTTTATTTTTTCCAACCGATTGCATTAGGATGAACCATATTTAATTTGGGCAACATCGGTTAAAACACGGGCCCCTTACTCTTTAGACTTAAATTATAGGGTCTCATTTAAAAAGTTTTCGGGGGGGGGGGGGGGGGGGG